AGGATGGCCCAGGTGCTTGGGCCCTGCACCCCATGGGAGACCAGGAAAAGCACCTGGCTCCTGGCTCCTGCCATCGGATCGGCGCGGTGCGCCGGCCGCAGCGCGCCGGCCGCGGCGGCCATTGGAGGGTGAACCAACGGCAAAGGAAGACCTTTCTCTCTGTCTCTCTCTCTCACTGTCCACTCTGCCTGTCAAAAAAAAAAAAAAAAAAAAAAAAAAAAAAAAAAAAAAAAAAAAAAAAAGAGTATCTTATACAGATTTTGGATAAATCAAAGTCATAAAACTTTGACATGAAAGATTTTCATAAAAGCTAGTGTGTCCCTGACTTTCCAGGCCCAAAGTACTACAGTTTTCAAGGTTGTGGCTGTTCTATGCTGCTTCTGGGACTGGAGCAGGAAAGTAAGGAAGTGCTAAGAAGCTGAATAAAATAACACATCACAGTGATGAGACATAGGTGCAAAGCAAAAGAGCTTTGGATGGCCAATGCTGGAACAATTTGAATAACAAAATTAATAAAGTAGTATTGGATTATAACCTGGAATAGAAAATAGATACCCATCCATGAATCCCTGCTGGTATAAACACATACATATAAATACATAGATTATATAAATAATGGTGGAGAGGAAACTGATCCCTCATGCCGAAGAATTCTTAATTATTTCTCTAGATACCCTGATCTCAAGGTGGAAGCACAACTCCCTCTCTGCTTAAGTGTCGGCTGCATAGTGAAACATAGTGTGTAGCAAGAGGAGAGTGAAAGAGTAACTTCACAGTGGAAAAACCTAACAGCCACCACCTCGCCCGAGTGCTCAGAGTCAGCATCAGCGTCAGCAGTGATAAGCCCTGCAGATAGCGTCCACCTTGATGTGAAAGTGACACCTCTCCTTCGTGGGATCCCCCCGCCCATATACACACAACTCATGACCTCAGGGTAATCATGAGGAAAACTTGAGACGAATCCCAGTCGGGAGACAGCTGCAAATCCCTGATCAATGCTCCTCAAAACTGTTTAGGTCATCAAAACCAAGGTAAATCTGAAAAGCTACCACAGCCAGTAGACCTCAGAGGACTTGAGGACTAACTGTGATGTTTTACTCCAGAGAGGGAAAGGGAAGAGTACGTTAGGTAAAAACTTAGGAAACGTAAATAAAATACCAACTTTGAGAATAATGTGTCAATATTTATTCATTAATGGTAATAAATCAATGTAAGGTATTAATAAAAGAGAAAACTAGTGTGAGGTGTATGGGAACTCTTTTGTACTTAGCAGTTTTGCATAGATCTACATTAAAAAATAAAATTTACTAAAAAAAAGCTGGTAGTCTGTGTCCAAAGATTGAGTCTGTTACGTTGAAGACATAGTGGCTATCAAAACCACATCAGTAATTAATCACGGTTCTTACAGCAGCGCCCCCGTCACTGTCACTGTCACTGTCAGAGCTCTCACAGGGCGTGCTCCCAGCGCATGGCCATCATGCCACTCTGTGCTGCTGTCTTGATTGTTGTCCCTCATTCACTCTCGCCACCCCTGCCAGAGAATGAAGCAATCTCAGTGGCAAACAGCAGGATTCAACCCTTCGGATATTCACCGGTGCCCAGTCTGCACCAGGCACCCAATGCTGTATTCTGGGAATACAGAAATGCAAGTCACCATCCTTGCCATCGTGTGCTGGCAGTTCAGTGGGAAACAAGTGCCTTCCCAGTCAATGCTTCCAGGTCTGAGAGCAGATAGGAAGGAAGAGACAATGGGGAACACAGAGGAGGCAGTGGTCAGCTCAGCCTGGAAGGCTGGGATATTTCACCTGGGAGGAAATGCCTAGATAAGTCTGGAAGATGCAGCAGTTTTACAGGGAAACAGTGTGGAGGGAGGGAACCTCAGCAGAAGGAACAGAAGATGTGAAGGCAATGAGGCTAGAGACAGAGGCACACCCGGGGAACAGCTGGAAGACAGGGGTGGATACTGTCGAGAGTGAGATCCAAGGGAAACCAGCCCCAGGACAGTGGGGAAACCAACCCTGAAGGGCTTTTGGAACAGGGGAGTTATAAGATCAGGCATACATTTTAAAAAGATACTTTTGATCATGGTATGTAGACTAGATTTCCAGCTGAAAAGAGGAAGGGGCAGGCGTTATGGCACAGAAGGAAGCTGCCTCTTGGATGGCCCACATTCCATATCGCAGTGTCTGGGGTCAACTCTCAACTCTGCTTCCAATCCAGCTTCCTGCTAATGTACACCCTGGGAGGCAGCGGGTGATGGCTCAAATACTTGGGTTCCTGTTACTCATGTGGAAGGCCTGGATGCAGTTCTGGCTTCTGGCTTTGATCTGGCTCAGCCGTGACTGTTGCTGGCATTTGGAGAGTGAACCAGCAGATGGGGGATCAGTTCATCTCTCTCTCCTTTCTCTCTCTCTCTCTGCCTTTCAAATAAATAAATTTTTTAAAAAGGAAAATATGGTAACCCTAACCCTAACCCTAACCCTTGCATGAACTTCCCCCTTATCTGAGCTTAGGAATTTAGGGCTGCTTCTGGCTGTTCTGCCACTCCCAGCATTCACTCTGAGATCTGAGGGAAGAAATGTGAGAGTCCAACTTTTGAGTCATTGATCTCTCACCAAGGCTGTCCACGTTACACCACAAATGCAATGGTCACTCCTTCAATCAAGTTTCTTGATCTTTGCATCAATTTGTGCCCTTGTCTCAGCTTCATAGAGTGTCTCATGGGGCCTGGAGGGCAAAGTGGTAGTTGCAATGACCAAATCTTAACCATCCCTACAGAGTAGAAACCGACATTGCCCTCATGCTGACAGAGGGAATTTGGTTTGTTTTGGGAGCTGGCCCCCTAGCTGTGTTATCAGAACCTCAGTCCACTGTACAGCTGAGCTTCTGAGCAGGGTGCATTCTCAGAAGAGACCCTTTAAACAGGGACCTGAGGTTAGTGTGGACTAGAGGCCAGCAAACTGCAGGCTTGTGGGCCAGATTGGCTGCCACCTGCTTTTGTTATGGAAGTTTTAAGGGAACACAGCCACACTCATTGTTTAAAAAATCTATGGCTGCGTTTATGCTATAATAGCAGCATTTGGTAGTCGCAGCAGAGACCAGATGAACTGTAAAGCCCCAAATATTTACCACTTGGTCCTTTAAAGAAGTTTGATCTAGACCAGCACTGTCCAATAGAAATATAAGTCAAATATATGTATTTTGAGATTTTCCAGTGGTCACATTTTAAAAGGTGAAAAAAAGTAAAATCAATTTAATAGCATCTTTTAAAAAGATTTATTTATTGGAAAGGCACAGTGACAAAGAGAAAGGGAGAGAGAGGGAGCCAGAGAGCCCTTCCATTCACTAGTTTACTTCCCAAATGTCTGCAACAGCCAGGGCTGGGCCATGCCAAAGCCAGGAGCCTGGAACTTCATCTGGGTCTCCCAAATGGGTGGCAGGAGCCCAAATCCTTGGGCCATCTTCCACTGCCTTCCCACTTCCCAGGCTCATTAACAAGGAGCTGGATTGGAAGCGGAGCAGCCAGGACTGGATCTGGCACTCTGGCATGGGATGCTGGCATTGCAGGAGAGGCATAATCTGCTGTGCCACAATGCTGGCCCCCGATTTTGATAGTTTTATTAAGCCTAGTCCAAAATACTATTTTATGTACAATCAATATAAACAATGCTTAATGAAGTATTTTACATCTTCTTCACAGGTCTTCAGAATCCAGTGTGGGTTTTACATTTACAGCACATTTCAGTCCAGAGTAGCTGCATCGCAGGCGCCCATTGGCCATGCGTGGCTGGTGGTTGCTGTATTGGACGGTGCAGGTCTGGCCTCTGAGATCCTGCAGAGTCAGAGCAGCCCTGGCGAGGAGCCTCCGGAGGCCCTCAGGCTGTAGGGGAATGGTTGATCCACAGCTGACACAGCTGACATTCCTGGGCAGTGGAAGCCCCAGTTGCTCCAAGTTCTGCCTCGGGGCTTTGTGCTTTCCCTCACTCAGAAGATGGACTAGCCTAAAAAAGACAAGTTTACTTTTCTGGTTGCAAACTGTGCCAGACTCCGTGGGTGTGTGCTGAGCCTGCACTTTGAGAATGAGTCATCCTTCGAGTAACACTGCTTGGTTTGTAGGGGTTCAGCTCTTCTGATGCTGGGTCCCTCCTCTGGTGGTTAGAATCATCCAGGAGAGACTGTCCGAGTTGGCTTGACAAAGAAAGGGCTGCCCACTTCCACTGACCCACCACAGCTGGAGTGATATCTGCTGGAAGCAAGACCAGAAGGAGCGTATTTAGCTGCACGCAGGCCTTGGCAGAACTCAGAGACTTCCAGGTCTTGTTCTTTGTTTCCTGAGCCTCGTCATTGCGCACACAGTCAGCCAAGGCAGCGTCTGTGAGCTCTGTTTTTTCCCCTGGCATTGCTGCAGCTCTTATTTTCCTACTTACATAGCAAGAGGGATCACACAGATTAAAATTCAAATGTGTATCCTTGCCATTGCTAGTGCTTCACGGGCCTCTCGATCCTGCCCCCGACTGCAGCCACCTGCTTTCCTGAGAACAGTGAAACTCTTCTCCAACAGGCTCCTTATTTGGGAGAAGCTTTTTTTTATTTTGAAGCTCTCCCGCTTTGTACAGCAGCCCTCCTACTGCCCTTCATCTGTGGCCAGTGGCAGCTTTTCCTACCACAAATGCACATGGCTTAGTGAGCATTTATCCATTTGACGAATGATTCCAGAGCTCTGCCCTATGGCAGGCAGCATTCCAGACACTGGAGATCCTGTAGTGCAAAGGATACGGTCCTGGCTCTCAAAGGTCTCACGTGGGAGACATGGGTCATAGCATAATTGTGACACGTGACAAGATAGGCAACGACTTGCACCGCGATGCCCCGGGGGAGGCTCACCTGAGCGAGGCAGGTGTGGTGGGGGAGGAGGGGAAGATGGGAGCCAGGGAATGCTTCGTGTTCTCAGGCTTAGCGAGGAGAGACCTCTTCATCATGATCTGCTTTTGTTCCTGCAGGCCAAAGCCCAGCGAGTCCTGCAGAAGCTGGCCGACGTGCAGGAAGTCTTTCACAAGAGGCAAGTGAGTCTGATGAAACTGGCAGCCAAGCAGACTCGCCCCGTGCAGCCTGTGGCCCCCCATCCCGAGTCCTCCCCGAAATGGGTGTCACCAAAAACCAGCCAGCCCTCCGCACTGGGTAGGTCATTTAGGAGGAGGAATCTCTGTGGCTTTCATAAGTACCTGTGAGGGTGGAGATTGGGAAGCGTTGGTTTTTTGACAGATATTATTGAAAACAAACTACAGCTATGTCATGGTGCAGACACTAAAGACAAACACTGAGATGACAGTAGGTACCCAGTTAATAGTAACAATATATTTCTCTAAGGAAAAACAATCATGTTGTTTCAGTCTTTATGACTTTTTAACTTTGTCTTATTATAATGACTGGGACTTCAGTCCAATGTCAAATAGAGCAGGTAAACGCAGATAGCCTTGTCTTTTGTCAATACTGGGGAAAGAGTTCATGTTTCACCTTGAAGTATGTTAGCGGTAAGTTTTTCACAGATGCCTTCTATCAGCTTAAGGACATCCTCTTCTATTCCTAGTGTGTCTGAGAGTTTTTCTCATGAATGATGGTCGAATTCTTCAAGTGCTCTCTCGTTGGTGCATATACTGAGATGTTCATATGTTTCCTCCTCACACACATAATCTGTTGTTACTGTGCAGTGATTTATTTTCAAATGTTAAAACAACTGTAAGGGCAGGCCTTTGGCACAGTGGTTAAGTACTGCATCCCATATCAGAGTTCCTCTGTTCAAATCCTGGCTCTGCTTCAGACTCTAGCTTCCTGCTGATGCACACCTTGGGAGGCAGCAGGTGATGGCTCAAGTACTTGGGTCCCTATTACCCACATGGGAGACCCACTGAGGTCTGGGTTCCTGGTTCCCAGCCTCAGCCTGGCCCAACACTAGCTGTTCTGGGCCTTTTGGGGAATGAATCCGTTTTTTTCATAATATACATTTTCCATGAACTTTTCGAAATACCCTCATATTAGCCCTTTTATAATTATGAAATGTCCTTCCCTCATTTTCCTTTTAAATGTGTTTTGTCTGATACTAATATAGCAGCCATTTCAGCTTTTCCAGCTTTCTTTTGAGATACATTTATTTCTTTGAATGACAGAGCAAGAGAGAGAAAGGGAGATGAGACGAGACAGAGAGAGCTACAATTTTATTTGTCTCCCATCCAAGTACTAACCAGGTCCAACCCTGCTTAGCTTCCAAGATCAGACGAGACCGGGCACATTCAGGGTGGTATGGCCGTAGACTACAGCTTTATTTATTATCTATCTGTGTCATGTGTTTTTTAATTCCTCTTTTCCTCCTTTCCTGCCCTCGTTTGGATTAGCAAATACTTTTTGGTACTTTTTTAAAATTTGTCTGTTGACTTCTTAGCATACCTGTTTGCATTATTTCCCCCTAGATATTTCTCCAGAGATTTCTCTAGTCTCCTTTGACTTAGTATTATATACTTCATATAAACTATGAAGGGTCTTCAAAACACTCATGGAAAATGAATATTACTAAAACATTATACACAGATCTCAATTTTTTTAAGGATTCATTTTCTTTATTTGAAAGGCAGAGAGAAGGAGAGAAAGGCAGAAAGAGAAAGAGATCTTCCATCTACTAATTTACTCCCCAGATGGCCACAATGGCCAGGATTGGCCCAAGCTGAAGCCAGGAACCTGGAACTCTATCCAGGTTTCCATGTGGATGGCAGAGGCCCAACTAACTACCTGAGCCATTTTCTGGTACTTTGCCAGGGGCATTAGCAGGGAGCTTCATTGCAAGTGGAACAGCTGGGACTCAAACCCACTCCAATATAGAATGCTAGCATTGCAGGTGGCAGCTTAACCTGCTTGCCACAGTGCCAGATTCAGGTTTCAAATATTTTTGCAACAATATAAATTTATCTTTTAAATCTGCTTTTCCTTTTTATTCAATTTTATTTGAAAGACAGATGGAGAGAGGCAGGAACTCAAGTACTTAAGCCACACTGTGCCGCCTTCCAAGGATGTTCGTTAGCAGGAAGCTGGATCAGAAGTAGAGAAGCCAGGACTTGAACTGGGCACTCTGTTACGGGACATGGACGTCCTAGGCAGTGTCTTGGCTGTTGCTGCAAATGCCCACTCTTTACATACATTTTTCAATGAACTTTTTGGAGTATCCTGTATAGGAAATAATACAGCAGTATAGTTCCATATGCCTCCATACACATCCTCTGTACTTTCCCCTCTTATTCCCATTTCCAGTATTCTTTATCCTGTATTAGAGACTGGATTATTATCTTGTGTCATTTTTCTTTAGGATAAAGAACTTCAGTTATCACTTTTTGTTGGGAGGCCTGTTGGCAACAAATTCTAATTTTTGTTTATCTGAAAATTATGGTGTCTTTTAGTAATTCTCTATTTAGTACAATTTACAGTCCCTGTCTCCCATCTTATATTCCATTTTTAGAAATAATCCTTGGTGATAGTTTAATGTACTTATTTTCTGAAATTTGCTATGCAAGCACATATACAATACATATATATACATGAACACCCAGGCACACTTATGCACACATACTTCAGACAAACACACGTGGAAATACCCTTCTTGGATGGTTAGAAATAGGACTTGATTCTCCTGGCCTCTTATCTTTCCTCAAACTAAACCATGTTCACTTCTATGACTTGGTCTCTTTCATTGTTTCAAGGCACATATGTTTGTTACAAGGTAAAATAAAAGCCAGAAATGATGGAGGATTGATTTTTTTTCCAAAACACAAAGAATTTTTTTTTTTTTTTTTTTGACCAGGCAGAGCGGACCAGTGAGGAGGAGGAGAGAGGACAGAGGAGGAAAGGTCTTCCTTTGCCGGTTGGTTCACCCTCCCAATGGCCGCCGCCGGCCGGCGTGCTGCGGCCGGCGCACCGCGCTGATCCGATGGCAGGAGCCAGGAGCCAGGTGCTTTTCCTGGTCTCCCATGGGGTGCAGGGCCCAAGCACCTGGGCCATCCTCCACTGCACTCCCTGGCCACAGCAGAGGGCTGGCCTGGAAGAGGGGCAACCGGGACAGAATCCGGCGCCGCGACCGGGACTAGAACCCGGTGTGCCGGCGCCGCTAGGCGGAGGATTAGCCTAGTGAGCCGCGGCGCCGGCTCAAACACAAGATTTCATAATGGATAATGCCCCTTCCCAACAGAACTTCACCATGTCTGAACAGGTTGTTGTTGACCTTGGTCAGTCAACTAGCTCATTTTATGGAACAAACACACACACTTGTTTTCCAGGGCACCAACAGGTTTCAAACATGTTTGTCTGATTCCTTAGTAACTGAGTCTGTGCCAAGATAAGCAGTGACATTTCACAGTATGAGGAAAGTGAATAGAGGAGCTTAGAGATGAGATCTAGGATCTCACACGGAGTCTAGTTAAGCAGGTGCCTTGGATACAACACTTAATGTCTCTGAAGTTCATAAGAAATGTAAGACAAAAGTCTTTAATGACATGTGGCCATAATAATAGCTAAAACCTGTAGAGCACTTACCATGATCTACATAATTTAGGCCTATGAATTCACTAAACCCCATAATGACTCTAGGCTTTCTCGTGAGTCCCCACCTTACCAATGGACATAGAAATTACTCTGAGCACCTGTGTCTCCCTCAGACGCTGGCAGGATGGCTTCTGCAGCCTGCCTTTAACTACTTCACCGTGAGGGCTGTGGGTAAGGGCTTCTCAGTCATGAGTGTCACCGATTAAGCTCATGCATTTCTAGTATGGAATTATTAACTCCTGGGGTCACTCATTTTACAGTGCTCTCTCAGAGAATAGGGAGCCCAAAGGATTGTCTGTGATTGTAAAGTAGCTTCAGTGGTCACATAACCTAGGGTAGCAAACAGTGTACTTGACTGCAGATTTCAACATCTGTGAAAAACCTCTAGGAAGCGCAGGTTGCTTCCAGTGGCTCACGGAATCTGAGGGTGGGGAAGGAGGCCTCTGGAGGCCAGATTGTCAACCTCCACCTCAGGTAATAACCAGGGTGATATCCTGGAGGGGTTAGGTGGGTGGATGGCATTTTGGTCGTAGGACCGAGAAATGCACAAATCCTGCCTTGAGTTAATCGTATGTATCCTGTGAGTTTTCCAAGGGAGTTGTATACACAAGGATTATGATGGTCATGTGACAAAAAAGAATTCAGATAACCCCTTGTGATCTTCCTTGGGGCGGTCAGCAGCAATACTGGGTAAAACTGATAAAGTGGGTTAGGAAGCTTCCAGGCCTACTCTGGGCTTCTCCCCAAGTCCCAGTCTTAGTACCCAGGGGCCAGGAAGCCCGACCAGGTGTCTGAGGACCCTGTGGGAAGGAGAGAATGGGGGCAGAGTGACTGACAGAACAGAGCAAGAGCAAGACAGCCCATTTCCTTGACTCAGCCAACTGATTGGAAGGTCATCTGATGTGCTAATAAAAATGCTCTGTCAATTCTGGAATCCAGTCGTCATGTAATCAGACCAGCAGCTACTCCTTCTGCCTAGAGCATCCCCTCATGGAGTCATAGTACAGTGTTGTTTATGTGTAAAAAGAGAGAAAAAGAGCATTTTCAAGAGGACTACAGGAATATACAAAGTGTGTTTAAATAGTAAGATTTTAGTATTTTTCAAATTTTCTATAATAAGTACAAATTATTTTTGCAAAGTAAAGATATATTCAGTGAAATGAAGTACCTAGAATTTAGTTTTCTATTCCAAGAACAATGTCAAGTGCAGTATCATAGAGTATAAATGATGCATTCTAATTCAGCAATGGGCAAGAGAATCCATGAAGTTTGTAATAGGGGATACTGCATGAAGAAAGTGGCTTTTTAACTGGGCTTTAAAACTAGGAATGATGGAAACTCTCTCATTTCTACCATGCTATGTTAGCCTATTTGTTGTAGTTTGATAGTTTATGTGATATTGAATGTAACTTTTGTTTCTTAACTCAATGGTCAAAGACTGTTGTCTATATCTCTCCATCACTCTGAATCCATTTACTAACTAGGAAATCACTATGCTGCATTAATTAACCCTTGCTAGCCAGCTGCATCAACATAGCCTAGAAATGTGCCCATGTCAGGAGAAGTGCTCTGAATAACTTAGGTCAAAGAACTGAATTAATGGCAGATTTTTTTTGTTCATCTAGCTCCTCCCCAGAGAACATCTGAGGAACTTCATACAGAGGCAAATTTGAATTCACTGGATAAGGATGCTGATCGGACTAAATTGGGAGTCAAGGTAAAGATCACCTTTCTATTACTGAAAGAAATCTCTGACATGAGGGAAAATTGCCTTCCTAATTATCAATAAATCAACAAATCACGTTCCCCTCATCAGTTCCAGAAGATGTGCCCATAAAGGCACGTGGCACAGACTGTTGCTCATAAGAGCTCAGCTGAGTAGGATGCCTTTTTTTCTTCTTTCTTAACTGAAACTAGAAATAAAGACTATTTGGTCATCTATATAATTGTTTTATTACAATTCCTGGTACAGACAGTTCTATTGAGGGGGGAAGGAACTTCATTCATTCCTATAACCTGATTTTGCATTTAAAATTGGTGGAGGGTGCTAAAACTGTATAGGGCTATATAAACATACACATACTGTGCAAATGCATGAGTAACTGTGAACTCTGACTAAGCTCTGTGGATTACACAATGGTAATTTCTTAGTCTTGATATTATACTATAGTTGTATAAGATGTTAACATTGGAGAAGGTTGGAGAAAATGAACAAGGAACTTCCTTGTCCATTTCTTTGCAACTTCATACATTTATTTTACAATAAAAATTAAAGTTCAAAAACGTAAGCTTTGGAATCAGAAAGACCTGAGTTTAAAAAGCATGACCGCTGTAAATTTCAGTTTCTCATCTGTCAAATAAGAACAATAGCAGCTACCTCTTGAAACGGTTTTGACATCATGTGAAATTGCCAAAAATGTGCAATTGTAAAGTAACGTTCTCTTTAGAAACCCAAGTAAAATGGATCATGATTTGGGAGTGAATAAAGGCCTGAAACACGGTGGGCCCCTCCCTTTGTTGCCCTTGTTCTCTGGGAGCCTGTGGCCCTCCGGCCACCTACTCTGCTTTCCTGCCTGTGTGCTTGCTGCGTGGGGCTAGCTCCTGGCCTGCTCTCAGCTTGTTATGGACTCAACTTAGCATCCAGACTTTTCTTTCTCCCCTAAATAAAGCCCTAACTCTTCTGTACATTCCTCTCAATGAATAAAAAGCTTTAAAACGTAAAAAAAAAAAAAATGGATTGTGAATATGTCACTGCATAGCAACCCCAGGAGTTCCCTCTCCCCTGGCTCACAGAAAGCCAAGTACCCAGTTGGCTGAATGGTTCTGAAATCAGTAGCCTTTGGGCTCAAATGAACTTCAGCAACAGTTGGGTTCCATCTTCAATCCCCGAAGCATCTGAATGTGGGGCCTCCGGGAACTTCACAGGCCACTGAGGAGTGCGGCAGACAGCAAGTCTGAGGCTCTTCTTCCAGGGGGCACAAATGGTGTGGGAACTAGAGTTCCCAGCAGGCTTTTCTTGGAGAGAAGTAGTACTCCAATGCCAGCTTGCTTGGTGACTGTATTCTGGACCATCAGGGTGTTGCCATTCATTGCTGTTTCTGAATCCCTCATGGTTGGAGAAGTTGTATTATCATGTGTTTCTGTTTTGTTTTATGTTGTTTGCTTTTTATCCTTGGTGTCCTTTCGGAAGGTCAGTTGATGATATAAGTGTGGCTTTATATGCGATCTCTGTATTTTTTTAAATAAGATTTATTTGAAAGGCAGTTATGGAGAGGCAGAGACAGAGAAAGAGAGATAGAGATGAGAGAGAGAGAGAGAGAGAGAGAGAGAGAGAGAGAGGTCTGCTGGTTCACTCCCCAAATGGCTGCAATGGCAGGAGCTGGGCCAATGAATCCAAGAGCCTGGAGCTTCTTCCAGGTCTCCCACGTGGGTGCAGGGGCCCAAGGACTTGGGATATCGTCTGCTGCTTTCTCAGGCACATTAGAACGGAGCTGGATTGGAAGTGGAGCGAGCAGCTGGGACGTGAACCAGTGCCCATATAGGATGCTGGCACTGCAGGTGGTGGCTTTACCCACTATGCCACAGTGCTGGCCCCTGTCATGTATTTGTTTTAAAAAAAGATTTATTACTTATGTGAAAGGCAGAGTGGCAGAGAGAGAGAGAGAGAAAGAGATCTTCCATCTACTGGTTCACTCCCCAAATAGCCACAACAGCTGAAGCCAGGAGTCATAAATTCCATCTGGGTCTCCCAGATGGTTGGCAGAGGAGCAAGCACTTGGGCCATCACCGGCTGCCTCCCCAAGCACATTAGCAGGAAGCTGGATGAGAAGTGGAGTCGCTAGGTGCTCTGGAATGGGATGCCAGCATCTCAAGCAGAGGCTGTGCCACAGTGCCAGCCCATACCATGTCTTCTTGAGTAAGGAAACAGTGTGAAATCTCACACTATCTTGAGCAGCCATTTAAAAAAGAAAAGAGTAGTATTTTGAAATGCAGGAGCATAATGAGTCATCATTAGACTTGACACTCATAAAGTTCAGGAATCACAAAAGGACAGTAACAGAGTTCGACTGTTGTCACCTTCAAAGTGACTATCACGTTCTATTCCCCACCCAGCTTTCTAAGAAGACATCATCTCTGAAGGTGAGGACTGTGTCTTGTGCAGTAAAGCTCAGATCTGGTCCCTGAACTCGTGTGCCTTCTGTTACCTATGATGTAATCTGAAGCCACTTCATGTCCCTGTGACACACTTGGCCCATCTTCAGGCAACAGCATATTTCTGACCTGCACATTTTAGAAAGATTCCAGGAGAGTTTGAAGCACTCGAGGATTTATGTGACTCTAAACTAGAGTTAGTTATTTCAATAAATGTGACAACAAATATAAAATTCTATTGTTTGTTGTAAAAGAGAGAGAGCCAATAATGCAGGAGTAGGGGTGGGAATAGAATCAGGGGCCTGTTGTCATGGAAGCTGTTGAGTGGCATCCAAGAGGCTCTGACCAAGCGGTTGGTTTCGTTCTTCTGCTGGGCTGTTGTTTCATTCAGACTCTGAGCCTTCCTGCTAAGATGCTCTCTCCCTCTGTGTTTAGGCAGATCACCAAGAGTGTGGGTACTGAGGAAGTGCATGTTAAAATCGTCTTTCTGGGCTTCCTTTGTTTTTTTTTTTTTTTTTCCTTTCCTGTTGCCTGTGTGTATATTTAATGAAGGACTTCTCCCACACAGCACATATTTGTACAGTCAAGGTGGAGGAGGAAGCCAGGTAGAAGTAGAGACTGGTCAGACTTTTGCTTCTTTAGACCAAGGCTATGAGAAGAAATGTAGGCAGAATTCACAGAGTCATGAACGTCATGGGTGGGAAGAAAGTGGATTTCACAAACTCCTCAAATCCTAGACTTAGAAATTAATTTAGAACCAGTAAGTGCAATTAATATCTCATCAGTTGGTTAGTATAACCAGGGAAATCATTATTCTAAAATAGATAAGAAAACTAGGAAGAGAAAGGTAGTTTGAAGACAAAGTTTTAAATTTATGTTTGTAGAGAGGACCAGGTTGTTGACTAACATAAAGAAGGATCTTTGCTGCTTGTTTTGTGGCCACTGCCAGGACTCATGACCAGGCTGGTTAGAGGATGTCTCTGACTGGCCGGCGCCATGGCTCACTTGGCTAATCCTCCGCCTGCGGCACCGGCACCCCAGATTCTAGTCCCAGTTGGGGCGCCGGGTACTAGTCCCGGTTGCACCTCTTCCAGTCCAGCTCTCTGCTGTGGCCCGGGAGGGCAGCGGAGGATGGCCCAAGTGCTTGGGCCCCTGCACCCGCATGGGAGACCAGGAGGAAGTACACAGCTCCTGGCTTCAGATCGTGGCCATTAGGGGAGTGAACCAGTGGAAGGAAGACCTTTCTCTCTGTCTTTCTCACTGTCTAACTCTGCCTGGAAAAAAAAAAAAAAAGAGGATGTCTCTGACTGAGGGTCACAGTTCTGATGTCCTTTTGCCTGGAACCCAAAGATGAAATGAAGTCATGGCCAGTGTGATAGAATGAATCACGACATTGTGACAAATGCCACCCTTTGCCCTCAAGAAGAGGCAGCCAACAATCGCTGTCAGAATCACCGACACTTCCTGTATCTAAAATCACGGCATGGTGTGATCATCATCAGAGAAATCATTGCTAGAAAGGGGCGATCCCTCTTCTCTGGAGGGTATTCCTTGCTGCGCCAGCTCTAGGAACTTGACAGCTAAACGCAACGGGGCAGTAGACTGTCCCCAGGGCCTTCTGGTAATGGAGCTGCCCTGTGCTCAGCTTGCTGTCTGGGAAAGCCCGGCAATGGGAGAGATACACAGTGGTTTGTTGGCAGGGGCCGTGAGGCTATTTCCTGTTCCTCACGTCACCAGCTGGAAGCTGAGAGCGTGACTCACAGGAGCTGCCTGTCCGGGCTGCTCACATCACAGCTCCTTTGGAAGGGAAGTCTGATGAGAATTTCCTTTTCCCAGATGTGACCCACAGGTAACAGGAAGAGCTACCAGTGCTGCTCTGCATCGACGGAAGTCATTTAAAGTGGCAGAGGCCTTTTCAGCTTCTGAGCAAACAGAATCCCCAATAAAAACTTTTTATAAGAAAAGCAGGGTCTGGAAGGGACTTGGAGAGGTGAGGGGAGTGTTGTGCCATGTGCGGGATGAGTCTGATCCGGCCTCCGGTCCTCGGCGCCTCGGGAAGCTGGTGCTTCCTCTGCTTTACCAGCAGTGCTGGAGACCCAGAGAAGCTGAGTCTCCCCAGGAGTCGTCCAGTTAACGAAAGCTGGAGCTAGAATCGGAAACTCACAGATGGCTATTCCAGCAGTTTACTTCTCTGCCATCTACCTATCTCGTTAATCTGCTTACTTAATCCCTACCCCCTAAATGTCCTCCTCTGCAAAATGGGGATAAATAATAACAGTTTCCCAAAAAAATGAGAGAGATGTGGGAGCACCTAGCAAGATACCATGCATGATACTACTACAGTTTTAATGATTTGTAACTATTTTAAAATTTACTCTAAAGAGAGAAGTTGAACACCTTTTCATTTGATTAGTGTGGATAGCTCTTGCCTATTTTCCTGCTGAACTATGGTCATTTTAACTTTTTATTTGTTGAACTTGTTATTTAGTGTAGCTATTAAGTCTCTGTACTGTAAATTTGAAATGTTATCTTAAAAAATAAATAAAACAGTTGAAAACATTTTTA